CTGCCATCTAGTGCTCTTTGCGTTAGAAACTTAGATTGAGCATAGGCAGAAATAGATTATGTTGGTATTGTTGCTATTATTATAATTTAATTTTTCCTCAGTCTCTGAAATCATTTCTCTTTTTTTGTGGGGGCTAAGTCAAAATGTTTTCCTAATAAAGTGATAATTCATATGTATACAACAAATATATAGACAGCTTTGTATATTATGGAAAGCTCAGTGAATTCTGACCCAATCTTTATCTATAGATTCATATGGTTTTCATAGCATTTCAAAACACAAGAAGCATATAGGAAAGGCTCAATTATTTCAGTAAGTCATCTGCTAAATGTGGATGACAATCAGTATTGCAAAGAAATTGGTGTTAGCTCACAAAATTCCCTGTAAAATGAGTTGAAAGAGAAGAAATTTTACCCAATATGTAACTGAAAAAAACATTGAAAATCAACTAGAAATGCTGATTGCATCATTGACCTCACTGGAAAGTAGAGGAAGTTCTTAGGGGCCCACAGAGAGGAGAGAACTGAAACAAGAGAAGTCAAGGGCTGAGGGAATTCCTACCAAAGATACCAGGAATATATAGTCCTTGAATATAATGGCTTCCCAAGACAGGATATAAGGACTTGTTCAGGGTGGGAACTAAGATGTTTGCATAAATCTGGAACCCTGGACAGACAATACCAGCAAAGGAAAACAAGGAAGTTTGTCAAGGCTGAAGTTCAGATGGGAAAAAGAAATTTCTCCTCCAAATTATAAACATAGCCTCTCTTACATGGGTTTTGAGTTCAAATTTATATTAACTGATAGATTGAACATGAAGTGTAAGAAAAGGAAAAAAGGTCAAAGATTATGCTAAGGTACACAATGCTCATCTTGAGTTAACTGGAAAAATGTCATTGTCAATACAGACGGAGAAAGCTTCAAGTAGAGTTGGAGTAGGCAGAATATTGGGGGAGTTTGGTATTAGAAATTTTAATTTGAGATGCCTATCAGACACTGCAGTGGAGACATCTAGTATGCAGTTACATTTATGAGTCTGAAGTTCAGGAGAGAAGAATGGGTTAGAGGGAAACATTTGAGAGTAGTCTGTGGCAATGGGACTACAGAACTAGAAGAAATTGGGAGAAAATAAAGATGAGAGAAGTCCAAGAACTTACGGGATACTCCAATATGGAGACATCAAGGAGATAAGAAGCCCTAGAAGAAGAAGCAGGAAAATATATAATCACTACTTAGAAAATGCAATAAGAAAAATGAATGAATTCAAAATAGCACCATCAATATAGAAAATACTGAGGAATAAATTTAATAATAATAATGTGAGAAACATAAGAAACAGCTCATTTTTTAAAAAACATACCATATTACTCTTTGTCATTTTTGTTTTAATTGATAAACTCTGGAATAGAAGTGATAGAGGGCAAGGGCACATGCCAGTAATCCCAGCAGCTCCGGAGGCTGAGGCAGGAGGATCTCAAGTTCAAAGCCAGCAAAAATGAGGCACTAAGCAACTCAGTAAGATCCTATCTCTAAATAAAAATACAAAATAAGACTAAGGATGCAGCTCAGTGGTCGAGTGCCCCTGAGTTCAATCCCTGGTTCCCTCACCCCCATGCAAAAAAAAAAAAAAGTGATAGAGGATGAAGACATTAAAATGAGTGGGACAGATACATATTCCTGATACCAAAAGACTTGTAGGACAATAGTACATGATAAAGAACAAAAAGAGCCCAGCACAATGGCATACACCTGTAATCCCAGCAACTCCACACTGAGGCAGGAGGATCCCACGTTCAAAGCCAACCTCAGTAACTTGGCAAGATCCTGTCTCAAAATAAAAAATAAAAAGGGTTGGGGGCTTGGGATATAGCTCAGTTGGTAGAGTGCTTGCCTTGCATGCATAAGGCCCTGGGTTCAATCCCCAGCACCGAAAAAAAAAAAACAAAAGGGTTGGGAACCTACCTCATGGTAGAGTGCCCTGGGTTCAGGCCCCAGTACCAAAGTTACAAAAAAAGAAGAACAAAAATTATGAGGCAGGACAAAATTAACTGCATGAAGACATGTTTGTAATTTGGAATATTTAGTATATGTATGAAAGAAGGTCTGAAAGAATATGTAAAAAACTATGATCGGTGAATAACGCATATGGCTGACTTTAGTTCCTACCTTATAAATATCTGAATTTTTACTACAGCATATAAACATTATTAACAAAGTTTAGAATTTTTAATAAAGTTTATGTGGTATATAATAGTGTAGAAACGAAGTTATAACATAATGAATTATATATATATATATATATATATATATATATATATATATTAGTGTGGAAATGAAGTTATAACATAATGTTAATTAAAGAAAGCAGAAATAAACATTTTACATAAAAACATGACCAAGAGTATAACATGCATGGAAAAGAGACTGGAAAGAAATTTGTTAAAAAAGTCAATTAAGAATATCTTTGGGTAGTAGCATTAGGTACTTTTTCCTTTTTTTTTTTTTAATGCTCTCTATATTTCAAATTTTCTAGAATATAGTAATATTATCTTCATTTTTTCTTTTTATTATGGAAATATTCAAACAAAGAAAAAGCTTAATAAAATACTAGGTATCTTTCAGCTTCAACAATTATCAAAATTTAGATCTACATGTGTCACCTTTCCCAACTTTTTGTTTTTTAACTTGCAACATTTTAAAGCAAACCTTAGATACCTCCTACTTAATACTATTATTTCACCTAATGAAATTAAGAAAATTTCTTTAATGTCATCTAATATTTAACCCTTAAGGAATGATCTCTGATTGCCTAAAACATGTCTTTATGCAGTTAGTTCCTGTGAGTCAGAATCTAAACAAGGCCTCATCTTTTATGGCTACAGAACTCTACTTCAGTAGTGTTATGGGCTGAGTTGTGCTACATCCCCAAAGTTTTATGTTGAAGTCCTAATCCCCAAGTACCTGAAGATCAGATCTCTACAGAGATAGTTAAGTTAAAAAGGGGTTATTAGGGTGAGTCCTAATCCAGTTTGACTACACCCCTAGAAGAGGAGAAGGGGAAAGTGGAAACTAAGTGAAGACACCTTCATCATAGACTTTAGTCTCCAGAATTGTGAGAAAATAAATTTCTGTTCTTTAAGCCACTTAATGTGTGCTACTTTGTTATGGCAGCAAAGCAAACTAATTCAATCAGTAAAGCCAGCATCTGTTCTGACTTTCTTCATGGATGGTTGGCCTTGTCAAATTCATATTTAAATGGTGGTTGTGGGTACAGATGAAAAGCGCATAAAATAATGCAGAGCTCTAGAAAGAGCTCAATATACATCATCTATTACTCATTCAACAAATGTTCATAAAGGATCAATTATTTGATAGATACCGTGGTAGATGCTGGGGATGGAAAAATTAAAATGCAATGCAATGAAAATATAATTTGTAGAATTTGTATCTAAAGTCTAGTAGGGTGTAGCAGGAGTGGTCAGAGTTAAGTTAATCAACTTAAGATTCAAAGGATAGGCTGCATTTTGGAGAAGTAGGAGGGATTTTCAGGGAGAACAGACAATATGTGCAAGGTCTGGGGCATGAAATGGTACAAATTATCTTGCGGGCGCACATAATTTAATATAGAGTGCCTAAAATTGAATGGTATACATAATTCAATATTGTATGACGTTAAAACAAGGAGCTGATGAGAGATGAAATTAGGCAAGATGGAGCATCTTGAATCCCAGGAAAAGTAATTAGATAATCTGCTACAGATGGCCTTTTAACAATTTTCAGGAGGGTGTCTTTATTAGCTTTACATTTTTAGTTTGGTCATTCTGTTAGCAGTCTGGAGAATGAAATTTAACAGTCAAAACTAGAGTGAGGGGACTGGGGAAAGGGGCTATCTTCCAATTACCCAGTGGGAAATGTTGAAGGCTGGCATTAGGCAGGGGCAGTTGCTATACACTGGGGATGTTAAAAAGGTAGAATGGACACGATTTGTTTAAAAGATGTATTCGGGATACTGTAAAGCTCTCTTACTGTGAGCTTTGTGGTGACTTAATGCAAAATAAAATTTAGAAGGGAAGTAGATTTAGAGTGAAAAATCAAAAAACTCTGTTTGGCATACATTGGATTGGTAATATTTCCCATTGTCTCCTGATAGAACTTTGGAAAACAGGTGAGATTTCTTTTGTAAGGTGTGTTGAGAATAGAAAAATTGGCTTCCAGAAAAATATACACAACTTTCTCCCAGTGCAAACGAAGCAACAGGTGATGGTGCACAACTATAACTGTAGAAAATGGCCTCTAATTCAAGAGTTGAGGAACAACGCAACTAGTATTTTTCCATCCTTGGTGACTCAGAGCTAAAGATGGCGCCTGTAGCAGAAATTAGCACGGGGGAGGGGGCGTTTTATGAAGAAAAGATGACGTTTTTATTTTTGTTTTCAACACACAGTGAGATACCTCAGCGCCTGGAGAATCATGGATGGTTTTCTTCCGCTAAGATTTTTGTGTGTAGTACAACTCTTCAATTTTCCACGCTAAAAAGCTTGTTTCATTTTGTGGGCGCGATAGCGCGGGGGATGACAAGTCTTTTTCTTTGCTTCACGGTCTCATTCATTCATGTTTCTTATTCAGGGAGGGTTCCACGACAGCCTGCCCGTCTGGCTTTCCCTCCTTTGTTTATCCCGGGCTTGTTACGGTTCTGAGACGCACAGAGGGTACACCCGCGCATCCTGGGGTTTCCTTACCGCTCCAAGGGGAGCAGATTCTTACCCCTTCCAGAGCCGCGGGGGCGACAGGCGCGCGCACGGCTCCGCAACGCGTGCCCGTCGATAGGCGGAGGGCCTGCGGGTCCGCGCAGCGATGCAGCACTTCCGGGGCCTGCGCGGGGGCGGGGCGCAGAAAGGGCGCCCAGGCGCGGCCACGGTCCAGGCCAGGCGCGTGGGCAGCTCCGGTCGTCATGGGAACGGCGGCGTAGGCAGGCCTGACGTCAGCGAGCGGCGCGCGGCCCGCACTGCGGCACCCAGTCGGCTCTCAGTGCTTAGGACGTTGGCGGCCGGTCTGGCTGTGCTGCTGCCGCCCTCCGGCCCGCCCAGCTTGACACTGGGTCTGCTTCTCACCGCTCCAGCTGTCGGTTCGTTGGGAACCGATCGCTGAGCGCTCTCCTCTCCGTGAGTACCCAGCGGGTGCGCTGGTGGCGGGAGCCGGGAGCGGGCGCTCGGCTTGCCCCGGGCTCCTGGAGCGGGGGCGGCGTGGGGGCTGCGCGAGGCCGAGAGCGCTGGGCCGCAGTGCGCCAACGCGGGCCGTCGCCGAGCGGGCACGGGATGCGATCTTAGATCCCCGTTTCAGGTCTTCTAGTCTGTGGAGCGGGGGATTGCAGTCATTGTCTTCCATACTCCCGGTCCTGGCTTGAACGCTTTGGAGCAGATACGTTCTAAGTACGTTCGTTTCTTTTTAGAGGGTCAAGCTGGTACTGAAACGCCTTCTTTATTACATCTGAGAAAAGGTGATCCATGTGTTGCATTTATAAGAAGAGAGTCAAATTATGTTAATAGGGTCATTTAGGTGTGCCTAAAAATGGGGGGTGTATTATATGGTAAGAATCCCCACTGAATGATTACACTGCATTTCAGCAGTACCGTGAAATTACAGCCGCCCCGCTCCCCCGAAAGGGATGCTAACAGATTTTTGACCTGTTGCATTAAGGATTGCTGTTATTGTTTGGGCTTTCTGAAAGAAGATTGCTTGTTATGGGGATTCAGGAAATTCTTTAAAAGAATTTTTGAAAGATATTAAGATACCAGAAATGTTTTAAGACCATATTTAGAATCTCAGGTATTCACGAAGACTGTCGTTGATTTATTTTTTGAATTATGCACCCTGTGTTTTTGTTTCTTTTTTCCTTTACTGTAAAATTCGGAAAGACTGGATTATCTAAGCCTCTCAGCTTTTTCTCCCCTTGGCCTTTAGTCCCATGCTGGGTGATAATCAGGTGGTCAGTGGAAAAAAAAAATGAGATGAAACGCAATCTCATTAATTTTTCTGCGTTGTGTGCCTTTGAAGCTCCTGTAAAAGACTTGGGATGGAGAAGTTTTAAAATAAAGGCATATATGAGATGCAGGGATGTTTTATTAAATCTGGCCTTAATTTTTGCAGATAATGTAAATACATTACATTTAGAGATAATGTAAATACATAATTTATTTATTCTTAAAATGCATATTGTATGCAATTTTATTCTTAAAATGCATGCATATTGTATGATTAAAGTAATTTAATCATGTATTTTATTTATTAAATAATTATTAAATGAACATAAAGAAATTTTATGGAGCACTACCTGCATTGTGTGATTGTTTTCCTTTTTGATGTTTCCTTTTCTCTTTACAATAAAAGTGGGTGCCATTTTAATTTCCCAGGCAAGGAAAAACCAAGGCTTAGGGAAATTCAGTAGCTTGCCTCAGACCACACATCAGTAAGTGACAGAACATGAGCTCAAGTTGAGTCTTTTGGACTATAAAACCATTGTTTCTGCTTTTTTTTTTTTTTTTTTTTTTTAATGGTGATACATAGATAAAGAGAGCACAGGTTTTGCTGTCCAAAAGCTAGCAGTTTGATGGTGGTCACAGAACATTTACCAGGGTTAAAATTCAGGGCAGAAGTAAACCAATTGATTAATGAAGATCAAGGAATTTTAGCATTTCTTGGACTTTTCTGTTAGGGAATATAGATCTCCAGGGAACTGGAGCATTAACTAATAATGCCCAGTAGTTCAAAATATATGTTTTTTTCTTTTTTTTACACAGTTTTATTCTTAAAAATGCATGCATATTGTATTCTTATGTGGAAATTAATATATTCATTTTAGATTCATCCTCATCTTTAAATAAATTGACAATTCAAGAATATATGTGCAGAGTATATCCATGTGTTTGAGTAGCCCTGATGTAATATACCCTGAGATATTTATTTGAAAATGATGGCACAGATGCTTGTGCTAGTCTTTTCGATTATAGCAAAATTTTCAGTGGCAGATACAGAAATATTTAAATTACCTATGAATATGCTACCCACAAGCATATTTTATTAATATGATAATGTTTTGGGAAATCAAACCTGAGCTGGGGCTTGGTTTCTTAAAATCATGTTAAAATCGTCATTAATTTTTTAGAACACTTTAAAAAGTCTACTAACATACCAAGTTAGATGTTTACTGCATTTCTAATTTTTTTGGTTTCAAATAAAAAAAATATTTTATTCATATATGATCCAGTTTACTTAACCTTATTGCAGGACCCTAAATTAATTCAAATGTACTCAATTAATTTCCATAAAAATTGGGATAAGAGAGTATCGCTTTACTGGTGAAGTAGTGGCAATACCATGGCATAACTTAAGTGAAGAATGTTTTAATTTTCATTTGGAACATCCATGTTATAAAAAATCCTCTTTGTTTTAATAGGATCCTGATTGAGTCAGTGCGTTACATTATTTCTCAATGCTTGCCATAAAGCTGAGCTATGCCCACTGGTAAGACTTTTATGAAATTTTTGCACAAAATTCATATTTTACACACTTGTTTTTAAATTTGGCTCATTTTAAGGGACTCTAACAGATTAATGAATAAAGTAAGTCTCATCAACCAATTATTGCTTTTAGAGAGGGTAATGAGTATTTTAGGTTTGGTCTCTGTGTGGAACTGATCAGCTCTTTTAAATCATAAAAGTACCATAAGAATTCATAACAATGAGCATATCTGGTTTTAATAAAACATTATTTACAAAAGCAGATGACTAGCCTGTAGGCCACAGTTTGCTCATACCTGTTATGGGGGGGGCATTCATTCAGTCATCATTTTTTCACGTAAAGCATATTTATTGAACACCAAACCTAGTAGCTAGGGATGTAAATATACACTACATAGTATGGTGGGAGAGAGAGAGAATTATTTATGTAGGTGTACGTAGACATATGTATATTATATATACATATATATTCTAGTTGGGTTAAGTGCTACAAAGAAAAAGAATGGCTTTCTACATAAGAAACAGAAAAATTTAGATGAGGTTGTCAGAAAGTGATCCATTTTAGAAGCAACATTTAAATAGCTTAACACAATGTAGAAGCAGCTCCATTTGCATGAGAAGGAGCTTATTTTGATGGAGGAGATAGAAGGTTGACATTATGGACAGGATGTAGGTATTTAAGGGGAGGTTTGTCTTGATTTGAAGCTGTAGAAATGGACAGGTCAGGAAGTATAGAATCCTTTAGGGCGTATGAAGGACTTGTTTTATTTTACCCTAAATTAAATCTGCAGGGAAATAGCATGATATGATTTATGTTTTAAAGGAAAAAATAACTTTTAATATTTGTCAAATGGTGACTATAGGCTAGACAAATGTTAGTCATTTTTCATGCCAGATGATCTTTGATAGAATTTTGATTTTACAGATAATATTAGAAAATGAAGTTTATAAATGTCTAAGGTCATACAATTAACAGTGATAGATGCTACTATGCAAAGGAGACTTTTAGAGGAAGTGACTAAAGAGGTAAGAGGTATATGGGTGAGAAGTCACCACAGCTAAAAGAAAAAAATATTTTAAGAAGTAGGAATCATTCACTTGTTATAATGTAGAGAACTCATGCAGGTATTCACAGACTATTTCTTAATATCATAGTAGTAAAGGTTTGTGTTACAGTAGAGTTATTTAGAAAATGACATGAGTCTTTATCTTTTGTAGTTGAGAGTGAAGCCAAAGCAAAAACCAAAATTCGCTTTGAAGAATTACTTAAGACCCACAATGATCTAATTCGTGAAAGAAAAAAACTGAAGAAAAAACTTGCCAAATCTAGAGAAAACATCCCAGTGAGTAACTGATCATTTGGTTATGGTGACTTACATATCTGAATAAAATTATTGATTTCATATTAAAATTCTAAGGAACTTTGGAAATTAAAAACGTCCGTCATGATCCATAACACATGGTAAAATAAAGTTTACATTAGAATCAACATCATTCTTAGAGTCATTCTTAGAGTATTGAATTCTGTCTTGAGTGCTGTCCTAAAAGAAGAACATAGGCACACTGGCAAGGGTTACCAGAAACAATGAGGAAACTCAAAACTAGCCATATTACACATTTTTGAGGAAAACAAAGGTTTTTAAAACCCAGAATATGAAGAATGTTAGAAGTAATATCTACAGATAGTCAGTGACTTGTCTATATTTAGATTTAATCTAACTGAGCAAATCAATGGCCTTAAGTCAATAATTATCTTTTTATGCTTCAGCCACACATTTAAATAAAGAATTTTGGACAGCACACTTATGAAAGATACAGAATTTAAAGCAATAATAAAGCAAACCAGCAACTAACTAGCCTGATTCCTGTGGTATTATGAGAGTCTATGACAGCATCCACAGTAAACTGTTCATGTTTTACACCTATCTTACCATTTCTTTTGCACTTTCTCCTTTGAACATAATCTCTTGGGTTCTTACAGATACACAAAAATAAGTCCTTGCATGTCCAAGTGATACATAATCTTTCTCTGGAAGGAGCTTTTTTAATGAATGATATATCCTATATTTTGCTTGTATCAGATTTTACCAAATGTATATGTATGAAACCTGTGTAATTTAGTATTCTATTTGGTAGTCATCAGTGTACCAGTATATACTCTCAAGTGAGGCAAAATTAGTGTAACGCTGGCCAGAATCCAGCCACAGACAAGTACTGTTTATAGTAAGCTACAGTGTGCAGCATAGTAGGAAACAGTGATGTGCAGAATAGAACACTATGTATTGGTACATGCCCTCCCCTCAGGTGGGGATTTTACATTGCAACAAAGTGAAAAGAACCCTGGAAACAGTTGTCTGCAGAATGTTTTTATGAACTCACTTGGTTAAAGAAGAACCTCATATTTTCTCTCATTGTTAGAGAATTGGACTTTGTGAGCTATGAGCAAGATGCAGTTAAGGCCAAGAATTCTTAATTAAGTGGATAATAAGATACTGAGCAGAAGTTATAAGGTCCATTTAAGATATTGAGGACATACAGGTATGAAGTAACATCATAATTTACCCAGCCTCTCTTAGCAAACACCAAACCTAAATAGACTTTGCATTCAGAAATAAGGATAATAGGTGGGGGAGAAAAAGATTTTCTGGCTCAAAAGAAGGGAATATTCCTGGAGGGCTTAGGGAAAACCAAATATTTCTGGAATTGTTAATCCCAGGAAGTAGAAGAGGAATACCCACTTTCATTTACTAGATAGCTCAATGCTTTCTGTCTTTCAGGCTCTCTTCTATACATTTTTTAAGTGTTCATATACTTGCTACAAACAACAGAATGATAAAGATTTATCTCCATAGACCAGGAAACTACAGCATAGACTTGGAGTGTCTTGACAAAAGTTATGTAGTAAGTTGTGAAAACAGGGATTCAAATACTGACAGTCTGATTGTAGAGTGTACTCTCTTATCTACAAGTCAGTGTTACCTCTTTTAATAAACGTTGAAGTGATAGCAACTCTTTGGAACAAGAAGATGAATTTCTGTGTACATAACATAACAGACTGAGGTGAAAAAGGAAGCAGTCTGAAATAAAATTAAGCAAGGAAAAAAACCTGTAATAAAAGAATTTACAATAATGGCAGGTTTACCTTATGTTCTAATTACGTATCAGGCATGGTGATAAGAATTTTACAACAATTATTTCTTATAGTCATGTTAATCATGCAGAGTTTTTGCACATGAGAAATTTTATTTTAAATTGTTTGTCCACGTTGTATAGTCAGAAAACAAAAAAGTGGGATCTAGGACCATAGTCACTCCAATTTTAAAGTCCATGTTCTTTCTTCAGCTGCTTCCTTAAAACTATCTCAGGCCTAAACTAACAGGATTGCTACCATGAGAAAAGCTAATCAGTAATATGGGAGACAAACTTGAGGCACTCTCCATGAGAGAAATGGCCAAAACTGAAGTAAAATAAGTAATGAGAATATATTTGACTTACAAATAAGTGTTCCCAGACAGTACTCATGGAATAGAAACCATAACAGCAATGATGAAGAAACCTGCCTGAGGTTAAGAAAAAAAGATCTTCAAAGACATGAGTCCATTTTGCATTCCAGGTATTTATGAGATGAGAACTGCATCTAGAAATGTTTTTGTTATGTTTTTATTTCAGGAGAAAAATAAATTTTACAAATATCTAAACAAAAAAAGCATCAAGTACATTTCAGACTTCTCTAAAAACACTGACTCCAAAAGACAGTGGGGAAATATCTATAGAGTATTGAGGAGAAAACTGACCCAAGAAGTCTAGTAACCTAAATTGTTAGTCGTTTGCAAGGGCGGTAATCATATGAGCAGAGAGCTTAATGAGCTCCTGAAAAAAAATGACAAACTATTAAAGATGTTATTTTTGAAGATGTATATGATTATCAGACATGAATAAAAGCGTAGAAAACATATAATTTGCAAATATTGAATGAACCTTGAAATCCGTTAAATATATAGAAATGTCTTATTATATATATGCCAAAAGTAAACCTAAAGATTTTTACTATATATGTATACAGCTGCTCCTTGACTTATAATGGTATTATGCCTCAGTGAACCCATAGTAAGTTGAAAATGCATTTAATACATCTAACCTACCAAATAGCTTAGCAGTGCAGTCCACTATAGAGTGTCAGTTGTTAATCCCTTATGATTGTAGGGCTAACTGGGAACATACTGTACCATACATCACCAGATTGGAAAAGATTCAAATTTAAAATTGGAAGAACAGTTTCTACTGAATGAACATCTGTTTTGTACCATCATAAAGTAAAAAAAAAAAAAAAATTGACTGTCTATGTGATAATGTGAAATAACAGAATTAAATGGTTTCCAAAGATTGAGCAAAACATCCTCGCTTACAAAGGAAGGAAAAGTCATATAACTATTACTACTGCCTAGGGTATAGTTACTGTTTCATCCTATAATGTGAAATAATTAAAATAATATATAGCATATAAAATGGATTATTATACTTTTTGAGTCATTAGAGATCAGGGAAAATCACTGAAATTAGATTTTATAAGACAAAGAAAAGTAAGGGAGTAAGAAATTTAAGAGCAAGTATTTAGTCATGACAATAAATGTAAATGGCTTAAGATTTCTATTTTAAAAAGTAGATTGTATAATAAATTTTTGAAGTAGTCACATTTTCCTCTTGCAAGATTCATATACCAGACAAAATGACTATAAAGTTTAAAATAAAAGTGCAAAAATATAGATGAAGAGCATTTAGAAACTTGGAGCTGTCGCCTTTATTGAAAGAATAAAAAATTCTAAATAAAATTTGAACAATTGAAATTGGTCATGTTAAAAGAATTATCCAAGTCAACCTAATAGTTTCCCCCCAAATCTCAAGACTATCTTAATAAATGGATATTGGTGCATAATTAAGAAGTTAGTACAAATAAATTGAATAAAAGCCATATAAGCATATAAAAATAACCAAGAAGAAATCATTTTAATTGGAAACAAAATAGTAATTTTTTAAAAAAACAAATATTTTATATTTATGTTTGTGAAAATTATGTTCCTTCAGATCCACATGTACACATGAAATACTGTGTAAGATTTTAGTAGTTTTCCATGGTTTCCTTTGAGGAGGAAGGATATATACTTCTATATACATCTAACCTTCATTTTTTTTCCTTTATTATTAGGGCACATAGAAAAGGTCTCTTTTCATTAAAACTAGTTAGTATCCTTGATATTTACATAATTACAAAATATGCTAGAGTATAAAACAAATAATGATAGTTTTGCTTTTTTTAAAACTGATATTTTTGTGCAGCTACTTCATACGAGGCACCATACCAAATGCTTTCCATGCATTCATTAACTCACTTCATTCTCATAAGAATCTTAAAATTAGTATAGATTGGAGAACCGAGGCACCAGAGTTTCAGGAACTTAACTGGGTTCAGACAACTAAGGTGTAGGAATCCTGGTCCTTCTCATTCTGTAACTTGTGATCATGACAACTCTGCTCTACTGCCTCCCTATTTTGCTCTTGTATACTGTAGGCAAATGTATGTTCTCTTAGGAGAACAAATGGTCATTGATAGTCTAAATGCTAATATTAGGAAACCTATGTGAATCAACTGAAAGGGAACAGGGTAGTAAATTAAAATAATTAGAGTGAGAAACAATATGAAGATATTGGAGAAGAAGGTACAGGAACTAATAGATAAATATCACATAGAAACTACAGAAACCTCCAAAAGGTCTTAAAAATAAATTTTCCAAAAGTATAGATTCATAATGAAAAAAACTTGTAAATAATTGTTAGCACATATTACAGACTTAGACTTTATACTTACCAGTTTTCTTTAAGGTCTAGGTTTCACACTGTTGTCATAATCGTCAGTGAACTTTTTTAGTTAACAAAAGTAGACTAAAGTTAATGCAGAAGAATGAAAAAGGAAGATTTAACTTAAAAATTTAAAACAAGAAAAGGGATTATACCATTTCTAGATATTTCATTTTATTATAAATATAATTCAAAGAAATAATATTGATAGGGATACATTAATTTTTGAAGAAAAAGTTCAATTAAAACCTCATTTTATATGACTAAATTTCATTTCAGACAGCTTAAAAAGTTAAATGTAAAGATCTAAATTAGTAGATAAATACTTAAATGAGAAAATAAAAATGACTAGCTGGTTTAATCTTCCTGTAAAGAAAGATATTCTGGTCTTAAAAGGGATAAAAACATCCCAAATAGACTATTCTCAGAAGATTTAGTAAATGTTTATTGAATGAATGACTAGGATGTGTAAGATGCTCTTTTTGTCAAA